AATCTTTAAAAAAATAAAAAAAATAAATAAATATGTCTTTGTCAGTCTAATTAAAAAAAAAAAAACCAAAACTGAAAAAAGCCTTATGTATTAATTTAGTTGCAAAGTCAGAAAAAATATTAAACACTTACTTCAATTCCATCAAATTCAAATTTTATGACAGGTACAAAGGCATCTTCTACAGCCTACAAAAGAGGACAAGAATTAGAACATATAAATAATCCTTTATTTTTTAAAAGATTTTATTTATTGTCAGAGAGAGAACACAAGCAGGGGGAGCGGCAGGCAGAGCAGGCAGAGGGAGAAGCAGACCTCCCGCTGAGCAAGGAGCCCGGATGTGGTACTCGATCCCAGGACCCCGAAGGCAGACTCTTAACTGACTGAGCCACCCAGGCGTCCCTAAATAATCCCTTAAAGGTATAATCCTTTCTCTATCCTTCCTAACTGCCAATAATATGAATACCTTTGCTAAAAAGTGAAAATGTTCTTGGTCTCACATTCCAAATAAGTAAGTGCTTCTACTCTGTGATTGTGTTATTTAAGATACAGAAAATGTCATGACAGTGGTTATCTAATTTATTATCCTCCTAAAAATATTCATCAGAAACTGGCAGGCAGAACTGCTATCACCTGGGTACTTACTATTTGTTAAGACTAAATTAAAAACTGATTATTTACAAAGAGTGCTAGTATTGGAAATTAAAATATAATCAGAGCTCATGATTAATCCATTAAAAAAATACAATTAATGTAATTTGGATTTAGTAGAAATGTCATCTTTCTGAGCTTTCCTTAATCCCCCAACCTAACAAATTCTTAACCTCCTTCTCCATTCCCAGATGCCCAAATAATGCAGATCCTTTCAACTTCACCTTACCCTAGCACTTCAGATTGCATTAAAGCTATGTTTGTTTAGTTCTCCTAATCCCTCCCTCCCAGAAACTATGTCTTGTTCACTATTGTATCTGTGGAACTAAGAACAGTATCAGACATATCACTGGTGCTGAAATTTCATTTGCTGAATGAGTGGCTAGATATGCCCAAAGAGAATGACTAACTGAATCTTACACATATTAACAGCTATCATTTGATATACATCAACCACTCATCAAATATTATAGTCAATGTTTATGTCAATTATCTCACTGATCCTCAGAAAAACCTTATAAAAAGTTATCACTACATCTCCATCTTACAGCTTTGAGGAAACTAGGCTCAAAGAAAATAGGTAACTTAAAATCTAAGAGCTAATATGTGGTAGATTCTAGATTCAAACCCAGATCTGTATTAACTATAAATAAAGCCCATGTTCTTAACCATCTGTTATTTTAATACGATACAGCAACTTCTTAAGAAATATTTCAACAATCATAAGCCCAAACTTTTATTAATGAGTTCAAAATATTAAATACCAGAGGATACTTACTCTTTTTTTTTTTTTTTCAGAGGATACTTACTCTTAAGTTTCTAATGCCATCTTGATGTTTCAATTTTTCAAAAAAAGACTGAAAAAAATCAGATCTCTCCACATGTCTTGGAGCTACACAAAGTGCATCAATGTCAGCTCCTGCAAATCAAAGTATTTCTAATTAAGACTATATTAAGTATGTATTACATTTTTGTTAAAACATATAAAAACATTATGTACAGAAGAAAATATGTAAGATGAATATAGGAAAATGTTAACAATGATTAGCTCTGAGTAGTGAGATAATGTTTTTTCTTCTGTACTTCTAATTATGAATAACAAATAAGAGCTTGTTATTGAAAGTTCTTATCAGAACACAGAAAAGCAGTTACCTTTCGTGTGTACTCCAAGCCTATAGGAGCCAAACGTGAAAATTTTACCACCAACAGTAGCCACAACAGAAGGTGGGAGATTCTAAAATTAAATTAAATTAAATTAAACAAATGACATTCAATTGTTGAAATTATTTAGCATAAAAATTGCCTAAATACTACCAATATATACTGTATTTGTCAACTTTGGGAAATTGAGATTTCTGAAATACTTCAGAGCTCTTTGGGCTGCAGCTTGAAGTAATGAGAGTATTCCCAGAGGGAAGACAAAACAAATTCAAGCCTACTATACATGCATACATCTCTCTTAAGAAAAACATTTTTTATCACTTGACCCTACTCATCCCCTTCCAATTACATGTCTTTGGCTCCATCATTCTGAAGTCACCAAGGAACTCGTAACTACCAAACTAATGCACTTTCAATTCTCTATAGTATCATACACTTAACTCATTACACTTCCCCATTATTTTTGTGACAAATACGCTTAATTTCTTGATTGAATTTCTGCAACCTTTCTGCAAGAAAGTGGTCATCCTGACATGACCTCCTTATGAGAGGTAATCTAACATCTTTAATGAAATTTTTTAGACTGTACCAGAATTATAAGGCTATTCTTTACCTCTCTCTGGAGCCAATTCCAACTTCCCATCAGGTATTTTCACTCAGACATTTTGATCCACTCCAATATTCATGCTTAAAACAAAATATTCTTCCTATGATAAACCAGGTATCCCTTCTGATTTCTCTCTGTTCTTCATTTTCCTTAATACCTATACCTGTAGTCATACTCTTCTTGGCTTACCAATTCTTAGCTTATATCCCTCACATGTTACCTCCTTTCTATTCAACTACTATGCCCTTAAATCTAGGCTTTCATAGAATCTTAAGCTACCTTCTTGACCTTAGTCTTTATTTTCTCCTATTCCATTTTGTACAAAATTCACTTGATGTTTTTACTCTATTATATAACTCTTCTGCTCAAAACTTGCTAATGCATTATTCTTCTCTGACTACTAAGGTAAGGATCCTTGGATCCTGAGAATCTCCACAATAATGCTCTTATGGATCTTTCTTGCCTTGTCTCCTCATCTTCCCCTTTAAAGCTCCAAATACCAACATGTTACATAATCCAGTCTCCTTTCCATCGCACTTGCCATTCTCCCTATCTCAAATGCTTGTCCATCCTCTCTGGGTATCTCAATACCACCTGTTTTTTTCAAAGTTCAAAAGTTCCACCTTTTTCATGAAGCCTTCTCTGATGATCCCCCATTGCATAACAAGCTCTTTCCCCTCTGTGCTCCTCCACTATTATCTTTAACCTCTTTTATACTACATTTATTATTGACCTTTTTCCCCTGAATACATGTCCCATCTCTTCAACTATATTTAAATTCCTTGAAAATGAGAACTGTGTCTATTTCTCTTATTTTTTTAATAATGCCCAGTGCAAGTTTCAAAGAATATCCCTTGATTAACTTGAATGAAATTATCTATACAACAGGATATTGTTACTTACTCTGTTTAATGGATATTAATGTTTAAGATTACCACATGATTTTAGAGCTAGAAAGAAGTCTGTAAATTTATTAATATGAATCAAAAGAATAGAGAAGATAGAATCTTTTGGTTTACCTTCCTACTTTCTATTTTAGTTTACTTTCCTACTTTGAAAAGCTAGATTCTTGCATGATTTATGAGAAAGTGATACACCAGAGTAAAATATTTTCATCACAAACCACAGTATTTAACTAAAATGATGTTTGAGTTCTAGATGGTTTATAGCTTAAATATCCCAACTGTATGTGGAACAGTCAAATGATCTTTGATCTAACTCAAATTCTTATGATATTTTCCGAACTAAAATATGCATAAATAAAAGGAATAGCTGATACAGAAAATGAAAAAAAAATTGCTTTATCCATGCAGCGGAAGATGTCAAAACCAATTAAAAAATTTTTATAATGAGCTATTTTATTCACTTTGCTTAAAAAAAGAAATCCAAATTATGGCAAAGTCTTTAATTTTTATGCCTAGAAATTAAATGTAAACCAGTGATTGCTTTTTGCAGATTAAAGTATTAATGTGAGTAAAATGGGAGAAAAAGCAATTTAATAAAAACAAAAAACAAAAAAACTTTTGACCTTGAAACAGAATACTACTGGATTTTTCTGTTAACTGCGAAGAAACTGTGAAGAAAATTAGGTACATCTCTCAACAAATTAATATAGCCTCTTTTGTGAATAATAATACTTGATTTATCTCAAATGCATTCTAGAATAGGGATGGAAGCAAAGAACTTGGCACAACCACAATATCTGACATGAACACCACACAGTAAGTCATAAAGCTTGTAACTATGATTTTAAAATAATTCTAGCAAGTTGAGTATTTGGTTTGCACACCCATAATAATTATGGGCTGATCAGAGAGGGATAACAGATTCCTTTAACATTTATTTAATGCCTGAGCTCTGTCCTGAGATTATGTAGGTGACCAAGACAGGTCTTTTTCTTATGGAGCTGATCACCTAGTAGCAGAAAAACAAACATGAATTTTTTTTTGTTACTCATGACTAGCATTTAACCTGCTCAGAATTCAACTTATCTGAAAATCTCAACTACTGATAACCCTGAGAGTTCAGAAATGAGTCAGATAGCTGTTTGGCAGCAAAAGTAAACAACATAAAGACCATTTATTTAAACCCAATGACTGCAGACTTAGCAGAGTCCCATGACCTTATTCTGAGTCCATGGTTGAAAAAAAAAAAAAAACAAAAAACAATTTTAAACATGTACCATAGGTACAGAAAGAAATACTAAAATTTACAATAGAAAGAATTCTAACAGGTGCTTATCTAATTTCTAAATCCAGGCAGATTAAGCATCAGAAAGAGTTTACAGAGAGACACTGACTGCTTTAATATATTAACTTTCGGCTAATTGTTAAGGGAAAGATGGGAAAACTATAAAAATTATAAAAACCAAACAGAAACTTAAAATACAACAGTTTGGGCCACTCAGTGAAGGGGCAAATAGTATCACCCACTTGCACACACCCTACTTCAATTTAGTACAGCCAATAAAATAATATTCAGTGATGATTCTCAGACATATGAAAATTCAGTTACATTCAAAATACTCTAAGAAAGCAAGAAAAATGTACTCATTTTAGAAGAAAAATAGTTAAGCTACTGGAGGGGAAAAAAGTTGCATAATTATAAATTAGGATTTGCAAACTCCTATGTCTCAGGGGTTAGGCAAGTATGCAAATGTAAGGTATACATAAGAAACACAGAAACTGACTGGTAAATGACAGGTGCTGTGTCAGACAGAGAGCAGCCATTGGTGGGGCCACAAGGCAATGGAGGGCAGGAGCCCAAATCCATTCAAACCTCTTCCTGCCTTGCACAAAGGTAGGCCCAATGTTGCCAGATCTGGTATTTCACAAGATGTCTGAAATCTGGCTTTTAAAGTAAAATCCCTTGATACTTAAATTTTGGTAAACTACATGTAATTCAAGCAGGAAATCTATGTAGAATTGTAGCTAGACACTGGGGTAAATTCTCATTTATCTCGTTATCATTATTTAGAGACTCAACTGTCTAGACCAATTCATTACCAAGTATACCAAAAAGGCTATTTCAGATTATTCTCAACTCCTGCATCTTATTACTAGGACTAATGAAGAGGACATAATGAAAGTGAATTCAATGTAGTTTAGAGCCTTACCTTACTCTCACTGACATCAGAAATCCATTCTTTTACTAAATTGTTCAATTTACCAAGAACAACAAGCCTATAATAAAAAATAACATGCTTTAGCTTAAAACTAAGAAAACCCAAAAACGGTATTTAAAAAAGTAGTTAAACATATAGGCAGAACCTTTATGTTGGTGTTAGAGTAAAAGCACATTATACATGCGCTAATGCTGTCACATCTACTAATACATGGCACATCTCTTTGACATTCTTAGGTCCCTAAGAGTTCCAAAGAAATGATAAATGTGATGATAGTATTTTGGTCTTTGAGCTATTCTCAAAGTTCAAAAAGCCTAATAAAAAATCAAAATTACCTTCAATAAGTCTGCAGAGGCCAACTGAATTGTCAACTTTCTTGGCCTAACTATGGAATAAAATCAATTCGATGTGGTGGTAGAGGTTAGCATTCTCTCACCTACAGTCATAGATCTTTGGATAATTAAAATGGGTAAATTAAATATTGGCTAATTTTTATGAAATAGTATCACTTAGTAACAGCAGTTTGGTATTAAACTAAACTTTCAACCAATAGGATATCTAAATCTACATTAAAAAAAGAAAAGTAGAGTTTAGACACCTCAAGGTTAACATATAAAAATGGAATTCCTGAGATGTCCAAACTTGCTTCTCCCTCAGCCTTCTCTGGGTAATGGAATTCCATCCTTTGAGGTGCTAAGACCCAAAACCTTGGCATCATCCTTAACTTTTCTCTCTCTCACACATATTCCAGTCATTAAACAACCCTACCTTTAAAATATATCCACAACTCTACTTCTTATCACCTCCACTGACATCCCCCTTAGTTCAACACCCCCATCCTTTCCTCCCTGGATCCTTATAATAGCCTCCTAACCAGTCTCCTGACTTGTGCCCTTGATCCCTCTTCAGGCTATTCTCAATATAGCAGCCAAAGTGATTGTGTTAAAACATGAGTAAGTCATGTCAATCTTCTGCTCAAAAACCTAACAGCTTCCAATTTGACTCACAGTAAAAGCCAAAACTTTTATAGTGACTTAAAGGTCCTAAGTGACCTAGTTCTCCAAGCAACTTCCCACCGCATGTTCTTTAAGCTCATATTCACCTGCTTACTCACTCTGCTCTGGACACCCGGGTTACCTTACTATGTAATTCCTTCAATATACCAGGTACACTCCCACCTCAAACCTTCTGCCTAGAATGCTCTTCCCTCATATATCTACACAGTTCCCTCTCTCACTTTGAAAATTTTGCTCAAGGGGTGCCCAGGTGGCTCAGTCGTCGTTGAGCATCTGCCTTCGGCTCAGGTCATGATCCCAGGGTCCTGGGATGGAGCCCCGCATCGGGCTCCCTGCTCAGCGGGAAGCCTGCTTCTCCCTCTCCCACTCCCCGCTGCTTGTGTTCCCTCTCTCGCTGTCTCTCTCTGTGTCAAATAAATAAATAAAATCTTTAAAAAAAAAAAAAAAGAAAATTCCGCTCAAATGTCAATAAGGCCTTCCAGATAACCTCCACTTCCAGCTTCATTTTTCTCAGCAGCATTTGCCATCTGTAACATTGTATTTATTTTATTTATCTGGCTAATTGTTAGTCTCTTCCCCTAACCTCCACCTAAAATATAAGCTCCAGGAGGGCCAAAATTTCTCTTCATTTTGTCATTTTTTGTATCCCCAGGCAGGGGCATGGGAGGTACTTTATATTTGCAGAATTAATGATTAAATAACATACTGTAAAATATTTTGCATTTTTAAATGACATACCTGTGGTTCAATTCTTCCTCATCTTCAAACACTCCGAAGGGTTTCATGGCATCAATTAATTTCTGTGTGTAAATATGATCAATTTCTTTAGGACATGCCAAACTAATTGGAGAAGTGATTCCATAATGCTTTTGTTGACGCTGGCTGTCCAGCATGGTGTTTCTGTTCAAGAAAAATGAAACAGCAGAAAAAATTTTAAGTATCATATCATACTGATATATTTAATCTCTCAACCCACTCATTAATTTAGCTATCTTAAAAGTTTAGTTAGTACTTTGGTTGGGGCAGGCACTTTTTTTGGGGGGTGGAAGGGTATTTTGTGTTTATTTTGATGAAGGTCTATTCATACTGCCTCCAGCTTTCATGGTTAGGATGTCTTTTCAAGCCAAAAGCAGCATGTGTTGGCATCAGGACAACTGTGCCAGCACCACTTAGCTCAAATGCAAAAAGCCTGAATGGGAGCTGGGCCAGAGCCACCTCCACTACACCCTGCGGACTTAAGTCAAGTACCATCTATATTCAATCTTTGAAAAGCAGTCAGCCACTTGAAAGAAAGCTCTGAGTAAGAACAATGTTCTTTCCCCCTCAGGAAAGAAACAAAAACATCCCATTAGAAGGTCCTTGTGAAATATCCTGGCTTTTAAAAAGAAATCACAACTAGATTTGTCCTTGAGAAACTTACATTAACATCCTTTGCTCAAATCAGAATTTATAGTCCTAACATTTTGTGACTCTAGTTAATTGTTCTCCACATTTAGATTGGCACCCAGACCATTTTCACACTAAATATCAAATTCTTTACATTTTTATCAGCACAATACAAGCCAACCTCCAAAAGATTCTAACTTTTATATTTATATTTATATATATATTATAGTCTTGAATAAAGTACAATCGAATTTCTGAGTTTGGATTTCAGTAATTTCAAAATAAATTTTGGGACCAACATGGGTCGGTAAAACTTTTTATTTTGCTAAGAAAGTAAAGTAAAAATAAATGTACACAATAACCGACTAACCCTACCATCTATCTTCACCATTCAATGTTCAGCACCCTTAACAACAACAGTAAGAATGTAATCTCAAAATATAAAAGAACAGTCTTTTAAATGAATAAATTAGCTCTGTAAACAATAACACGAAAATACAGTAGTGATTGTTTTTGAATTTTAACTGGTCAAAACACTGACTTATTGCTACTAAGTTCTCACAGGAAGGCATGCTCTTTAGCTAAAGATTTCATTAGGTAAGGAGGGAGAATCAAACGGAAGATAAAATAGCCTATATATCTTCAGAAATGATTCAAAGAAACAAAAGGGAAACACCAATACTAGCGACTTTAATTTCTTTGTTACTAATTTTCCTGTGGAAAAAAACAAAATTTCAGTTAGCTACTTCAAGTAACTTCTTTTTAAAGATTCAGCTTTTTACCTCTAAGAGAGCTATTTTGGTATTGACTGTGTGTGTTTAAATATGTATGGTAAATGGATGGGACAGACTGATTATATGTGATTATTCAATTAATTTCGACAACAACCCTAAGAGGTAGGTACCGAATAAATGCCATTTTATAGGTTAAGTACCCAAGATCCAAGGGATAGGAAGAGCCAGAATCTGAGCTCCAAAACCCAAGATCTTTCCACCACTCCATTCTCCCTTCAACAAATACCTTTGTTCTGACACTATGATCTTGGGTCCCCCTTTCTTATCTGTATGCTGAAAAAGTTGGCTATCAAAGCCTCCTACCCTACTAGCACTAAAATTCCAAATCTATGGTTCTGAACCTCCCTCATGGGGTGGGGGGGGAAGCCAAGCAAAAGAATCCCACATTCCCTTCAACTCATCAATTTCACTTATAAGTAAACACCCTAGAGAAATTCTAGTACAAGTGTACAAGGAAACATGTACAAGAATGTTCACTGCCACACTGTAACATTAAAAACTTAGAAACAACCTCAAATAATCACTATCAGGAAAAGGACTAAACTAGGGTGTATCCCTACAATGGAATACAATACAGTAGTTACTATGAATTAGTAAGAGTTGAAAATATTAACATGGACAAAGTTCAAAGATACTATGTTGTCTAAAGAAGTTGCAAAATGACAAGTTTGATACCAGTTATAAAAAGCTTAAAAAGAAGTAAAATAATGCCCGTTATTATAGACACTTACATATGTTGTTTTAGCATTTTTAAAAACGCAGCAATAAACATCAAGTTCAGGACTGTGTGGAACTCTGGGGAGGGTAGTGAATGGAATAACAGGAGGTAAGAGAATCCTTAAGACATATCTGTAATGCTTGATTTCTTTTAAATAAAGATATGTATGTACACACACACACCCACACACATACAGGATGTTATGCTTTGGGAGAGATGGATGGTGACTACACAATTGATGCTTACGTTATTCTCTGCATTTTTGTTTAAATTATTTCCTAATAAACCAAAATGTTAGGAGCTACAACAAAATCTTGCCAAGCATGGAAACCGTTTCTGACTTATCAATGTGTGAGCAGGAGGTATAGACCGGTATATACTGTGGGCCGATGGGGGAGGCCGGGGGAGGGCGAAAAGATCATAGCTTTTATTAAAAAGAAACGCATGGGCTGGGATAGGTCATTCACTCCTGAAGACCAGGAGACAGCCGGTCGGGAGGGAGGAGGGGGAGGTAGGGGGATGGTATTTGCGCCAATGCAGACAGGAGCAGAGACGGGCTCAGACAGTGCTGGGGGCAGAAGAGTGACCGACAATTTCTCCCCACGGACACCCGCGCCTCTCCCGCCACTCCCTTGTCTGGGGGCGTCCTCCGAGGCGGGACAGGCGAGGGCAGATGGGGGCTCCAGGAGTCCCCGAGTCTGTGCAGGGGTGGCCAGGTGAGCCTCCGGGTGCAGGGGAGGTGCCCTTGCCGACCGGCCAGGAACGGGGAAGGAGACTACTCGGGCGAGCTCCGGGCAGGGCGCGAGGGGCAGGGAACGGACACCGGTCCCGGGCCGACCACCCTAACCCACTCCTCTCCGCCTCGCCCCCAACCGCCGCCCCCCACCACTTACGCAGACATCTCTTTCATCGCTTCCTGCGTCTTCCTCACCGGCGAGTATCGTTCTCTCTGGAGTCAAGTTCTTGCTCTTCCCTTCTCCTCCTGTCGACTTTCCTCCGGTCGCTTGTAGCTCGCTTGCTCGCTCACTTTCTCACTTACTACGGCCGAGGCATCCAACCGAGTAGTGAAAACACCACAAAACCGGCTCTATTTATGACAATACAGCGCGGCCGACGCCAATATGGCGCCGCTTCCCAGCCTGCCCCTCGCCCGCTGCGGCCCCGCCCCTGGAGGCCTGGACCCGCCCTCGACCCCGCCCCCTCCTCCTTTTGGTCCCGGGAGGCTCCGGTGGTCCCGCCCACGGGCGGGGGCACAGGCTCCGGCTGCAAACGCCGGTCGGAAGGAGCGTTTTGTACCCTCCTTTGTCCGTGGGACTGTCAATCCAAGCAAACCGCTTGGAATGTAATTAGGAACATATTTTCCTTGTTTCACTAATGAAAGACTATATTTTTTAAAAGATCACAACCTTGCCTAGCAAATACTAGTTTAACTCTTCCGTTATCCTACATCTTTAATTAGTCATAATCATACGTAATCAATCCACTCGTGGAGATTTTGTCGTGATAGGGTCACACCGAGGAACGTGTGACTACAATTATCCCAGGGAAAAAGCAAACTTGTAAATTGGAGGCTAATCTGTTCACTTCATCTCTACCTCCCCCTGATTTATGACATTCCGGCAGTTGAGGGGGGTTGAAAGGAGAATCGCTAGCAGCTTGCAATAGGAGGATAAATCCAAGAAATAATTTAATACACTAAATCATTACAAGGAAAAGGATGTCAAGAAGCTGCTTTTTCTCGGAATGTGACTCAGAGTCATAGGAAATAGAGGCGATTACTTATAAGATTATTCATTCATTCATTCAAAAATATTTATTGAAAACCAAGCATTGTTAGGCACTAGCGGCTTAACGGTGCATAAAACCAGATGTATTCTTTAACCTTATGAAGTTCAGAATTTAGTGAGGAAACAATCAAATATAAGTGATATTCTTCTGTTGTAGAACTAAAAGCACCTACTGTATGTCAGGCACTAGAGATACTTAATTCCTGCCCTTCAGAGTTCACAGTCTAGTGGAGGAGGACAAACGTACACAGAGATCATTGAAATACAGAGGGGCCAAGGGATTTAGGGAGGCTTAAAGAGGGCCATCTATTGGAAGCTGGATCTAAAGGCTTGATTAGATTCAGGCTACACACCGCATCACACCAGGAGTCACATTATGAACCTCTGGTAGTCCCATCATTGGTGATAGTAAGATTGACCACTGGGTTTAGGTACTGACAGTCATCTTGGAACTAAATAGTAATCTGTGGGGTGATAACTTTGGCACTAGGTGAATATCCAGCTGTCCATCAACCTTTCACCTAATGGTTTCAGCATCTGTTGATAGTATTGACTTAATTATTTCCTTAGGGGGAAATTGTGATTTTCCAATTCTGTCTACATTTATAGCTGGCATTTTTCTGGAAAGAAGAGCTTTTCCTCATTGACTAGGACTATTAGGTTATTCTGCAATATCAATATGATTCCTACTGCAAAGGAAAAATATTCCTTTCCCTTCCAGAGTTAAGAACTTGGTATAATGGCCACCTTCAAAGAAGTTCTTATTTATTTGCTTGCTTATTTTATTCCTTTTTTTTTTCTGAGTTTCATATGGACTCATTTTCTAATATAGTTAGCATGTTTCAATCAATTACAGTCATGATTCTTTTGATGCTAAAATTGTCCCAACTTTGGTCAGTGGGTTCCTCTGTCAATCTGGTTCCTTGGCTAGTATTAAAAAAAAAATTTTTTTTAAATCAATATGATAGGTGGGAAAGTGGTGTTTCTTTGTGGTTTTACATATCCCTGATCAGTGGTATTTCACTAGCTATTTATATTTCTTACTCAGTGGATTCAAATGTTTTGTCCATTTTCCTTGTAGTGTAACTGTCTTTACACCAGTGATCCAGACTCACCCCTACAAATGAGATGTTCTCAGGGCTTACTGCTGGTCTCTTTCAGCTGCAACCTCCCTCTGCTGAGTTTTTCCTTCTGATCATCTCTTGCTCTAAAATGAGTCTTGAAATAGCTTATTCAGAAAGGAGGTACATTTTCCTAGTTCTGGCATATTTGAAAACATGTCCTTCAAAGCTTGGTAGATGGTGCTTTATTGTTACCTGGTGAGTCTTAAACACTTGTAAAATTCTTATTTTTGAAGTCTAAAAATTCTGTCCAAATAGGCCTTTGTATGGCCGTCTCTTCCCTAAAATGTGTCTAGAACATAATAAACATTAAAAATGTTTTCTGACTACTTTTTAAAAGATCAGATTAAGTTCCCCCTATTTTTTTACTTTAAAAATTCCTTCTGTTCCATCCATCAATTAGCTCTTTTTTTGTTTGTTTGTTCAGGTAAACAGAATTGCAACTTGGGAGAATGTTAAAATGTTCATGCAAGTAATTCAGGGAAAAAATCTTTAAAAATTGTTATTTTAGCTTTTTAAAAATCTACTGGGCTGCCTATAGCACAAGTAGGGTATATCTGTCTTGCTCACCAGCTCATCCTCAGAACTTAACATAAGTGTTTAATAAAGATTTGTTGAAGGAATTGATTTCCAATATTATTTTCCCTTATGTCTTTCTTCATCTCATCATCTCTTCTGCACCAATTGGTAGACAATCTCCACTTTGCCTTCTGCCTCTAACTTAATATTCTGATGTGTCTGAATGTTATGTAAGTATTCTGTTGGAACCTTTCCATCTCTGAACCACCTTTATTAACTCAAAGCATTTCCTTTACCTGGCAGATTGTTGTAGCAGAGTATTGCTCACACCGGTCATTAGCAGGTTATGACTAACACCTTTTAAAATATGACTAGAAGAGTATGGTATTTCAGGTAGCATCATCCAAAAATGACCTTGGGAACTGAGGCTGGGGATGCCCACATGTTGTGCCAGAAAGAACTAGGGTCTACCCTTCTACCAGCAGGAGCAGTTGTGTCCACACTTAGCTTCCCAGGAGGGCTTTCTACCCATTGCAAAAGGGGCTACAACTTCTTCTTCTTCTTTTTAAGATTTTATTTATTTATTTGACAGAGAGAGACAGAGTGAGAGAGCACAAGCAGAGGGAGTGGGAGAGGGAGAAGCAGGCTTCCCGCCAAGCAGGGAGACGGATGCGGGGCTCCATTCCAGGACCCTGAGATCATGACCTGAGCCAAAGGCAGATGCTTAACGACTGAGCCACCCAGGTGCCCTGGGGCTACAACTTCTTAGGGGCCCCTGAGATCCCCAGCTGTTGGGCAGCTGGCACCTAAGCTCAGTCACCCTGGCTCTGAATAATCTCTTTGTCCACACTCTGACGAGGCTGCTTTCTCACAAGTTTACTCGAAGAAGATACCATCTTGGGGGACATGATCTTCCATTGGAGCACACATAGCAACTTTAGCCATAGCATCCCTCTCTCCGGAATGTTTGGAAGATCCAAGACTAGGCCATCTTCTCTTTCTGACTCTTGGCTTCTAATTTCCCCCATTAAGGCCTGTTCCTTAACTCAAGCTGAATGACCATGTGGAATTCACCCTAAGCCCTGTTGCGTGATAGGTAGCGATCACGCAGAGACTCTCTCCCACGTTGAACAACAAAAATAAAGTATGTGGTTGAATTTGCTCTCAATGGATTCATGTCCAGTGCTGCTCAGTTGGTTTTGAACAAATAGGAGTTGGAAGTTGTCAGAAATTGATATGGGTCCTGTTACAGAGTATGTGTTTGACTCCATTCCCCACCCTGCCCTCCAGTTCTGGAGATGGAGCCCTCAGGAGGCAATTAGATCATGAGAGTAGAGCCATCGCTCTTAAAAGAGGAGACAGGGGAGTACTTGCTTCTGTCTTTTTTTTTTTTTTTAAGATTTTATTTATTTATTTGACAGAGAGATAGTGAGAGCAGGAACACAAGCAGGGGGAGTGGGAGAGAGACAAGCAGGGAGCCCGATGTGGGGCTTGATCCCAGGACCCTGGGATCATGACCTGAGCCGAAGGCTGAGGCTTAATGACTGAGCCACTCAGGCGCCCCGTTTGTACAGTTTTTTAAAAAAGATTTTATTCATTCATTTGCCAGAAAGAGAGAGAGGCAGACACTTAACCGACTGAGCCACCCAGGCGCCCCCTGTTTGTACAATTTTTAAAAAAGATTTTATTCATTCGACAGAAAGAGAGAGAGAGAGAGCACAAGCAGGGGGAGCAGCAGGGAGAGGGAGAGGGAGAAGCAGGCTCCCCACACAGACCAGGAAGCCGGATGTGGGCCTCTATCCCAGGACCCTGAGATCTTGACCTGAGCAGGAGGCAGACGCTTAACTGACTGAGCCATCCAGGCGCGCCCCTTGTTTGTACAATTTATTGTTTTTTGTTTTTGTTTTTTTAATATGAATTCAGTGCAGAGGCTCCTGGGTGGCTCAGTCGTTAAGCGTCTGCCTTCAGCTCAGGCCATGATCCCAGGGTCCTGGGATCGAGCCCCACATCAGGCTCCCTGCTCTGGCGGGAAGCCTGCTTCTCCCTCTCCCACTACCCCCCTGCTTGTGTTCCCTCTCTCGCTGTGTCTCTCTCTAATAAATAAATAAAATCTTTAAAAAAATAATATGAATTCAGGGCAAAGAAGGGACAAAACAGGTGCCTATTCGTTTTTCTGTATCTAGAATAATATGTAAAGTCCTGGATATGCTTTAAGCAATTCAAGAGTCCATTGATTAGATGAGTTTGGCCTGGAGAGCAATTCCAATTCCAAGTATCTGGATTTTCATGGTTTATGTTTGTGGGGTGAGGCCCCCTGTGTCTCTGAGTATTTTCTTGCATTAAAAAACCTGCTAGCTTCATTGGAAGAGCCTTTGCTCTCTGGGCTTAGATGGGTCAAACCAAGCAAGGTAGCAATCAACAGCTTTCCTGGGAGGCGGCTTAACTGCCTGAAGTTAGGGACCTCAGCAACCCCTCCCAACTGTTTCTCCCCTACACATTCGGAAGGGCAGGAAAAGTCTTTACACCAATTTAAAAACTTCTTCCCAGAGCTCGGGGGATTAACATATAAACTCAGTGGACAGAGCAGATAGGTTTCCTGCTTCTCTCCAAATTGAAGGCAAGATTAATTACGGTGCTCACCTGCTCCTGAACCGGCCCTGTAATGGATCCTGGCTGTGTGCTCCCCGAAGCCGCTCTTACCCACGGTTCTCTG